TTTATTAGCTCTGTTGCAGTTTCACAGAGAGGATGGCTCATGACCACTTGGGTAGATCTATTATTAATGTTTCCAAATCAGACAGTTGACTATAATCAAGTAGCTTGGATTGAGCTAGATGAAAGCATTCCTGAAATTACTTCTGGTGGTGGTGGTTGTTATTTTAGTTCCCATTCTTTAGGGAGAACAGTGGAAAAATCTGTAAGGCACCAGCATACTGTGAAAACTTGCAATATGAAATTTAGTAAAATCAATGTTTCACTTGCTGAAAAAAGTTAAGGAACATCTTGCATGCTGACAAGTATGGTGTTTTCCTTTGTCAAAGAAATGTCTCTCCTGCCTTTGAATTTAGAAATACTTATTTTCCAAAAACTTGGAAAAATTCCAAGTAGCTGGAAGCTGTAGGTCTAAACGTTTATTCATATGGACCTTGACTTGCAGGAGAAATGGGCTGGTGGAAACTCATAAAGGTCAAAGAAAGCAAATGCAATATCCTGCTTCGAGTATGGAATAACCAAGACGGTACAACAGTGTGGGTGGGGACAGTGGTTTCTTTCTAAGTAGCTTTGCAGAAAAGGATCTGGGCCGGGGCAGATGGTTCTCACAGACAATGAGTTGAACCCAATTCAGCAACGTGGCCTTGTGATAAGGAACACTGACAGCACTCTGGGCTGTTTCAGCAGGTTGAGGGAAGTGATTATTACCCCCTATTCAGCACTTGTGAGCCTGCCTTGGGAGTGCTGCGTCCAGCTTTGGGCTCCCTGGTGCAAGACAGGCATGGACATTTTGGAGCGAGTCTTGTGGAGGGTCACCAAGAGGGTCAGGGGCCTGGAGCACGGAGAGAGTCAGGCTTGTTCAGCCTTAAGAATAAAAAGGGATAAAAGGGGTATCGTACTGCAGTCTGCAGCTACCACTGGGAGAGTTTGGGGAAGGCAGGGCCAGGCTCTGCTTGGAGGTGCACAGCGAGAGGATGGGAGGCCACAGCCACAAGTTGCCGCCAGGGAAATTGCAATTACACGTTAGGGGAAGAAAAGCTTCACGCTGAGGGCAGTCACAGAAACGGGGTCTGTAGCAGTTGTGGAATCCCTGTTGTTGGAGATGTCCAGAACTCAACCTGGAAGGGCCCCAAGCGACCAGCTCCATGCTGGCCCTGTTCTGAGGAGGGGCTTAAACCAGTTAATCTCCAGAGGTCCTGCGGGTAAGGGGACAGCAATATTATGTAACTTGCCCTACCTTTTCACTGGACTGCACTTGGTCAAAGATCCAAAATAAAAGTGAAGTACTGAGTCTAAGTTTTAGGCAGCTGGGTTAAACGGAAAAAAGAATTCCCTCACACCAGCTGTTTTCTTGAAGGACTGTCATTCTTTGGGGTAGTATGATGACTTCTACTGATGTATGCTTTATTTTAAAAACAGGATTAGTGTTATTTTTTCAATTCGAAAGATTGTTATTCATAGAATTAAGTTAATATTTTTCAAGACCAGTATCAGTTGTAATGAAAATTATTTCCTGCAGGGAGTTAGCATGAGGAGAACAAAGCACATCCTCGAGCCACAAACTTTGAACTGCTAATCAAGTACGACAGGGTTAGGGGAAGGCAGTGAATCTTCCACACAGTAATGCTTTCACTGTTTCAGGCCTACATGTGCTACTGGTTGAAATATTTTTTTTTTTAATTGCCTGCAGTCAGACTTAAATTAATGAAGACGGAACCTGCCCATTCAAGAAGAACAATGTAGATAAGTGTTATCAGAACTTATCACTTATTTTAAATGTTTTGAGTATGTAGTCAGGATTGCAAATGCTTATAGTGATCTGTACTAGCAGGAACCTGTCAGGACCACCATCCTACCAAGTCTTCATACTACAATTATTCAGTGAAAAGCATTAAGTGTTTCTTTGGTGATTTTTCTGGCTATTTTAAAATTATGGGCACTGCTTCTAAACAAACAATTACTGGTTTTAGCTTACATTTCCTCTGTCTAAAGAAAATAATCTGATACAAGCTTATGAATTGCTTTCTAAACCTTTGAGAAGAGAGATGCTATTATGATATTGTCCAAATAACAGCAAAGCTAGTACTTAAAGGTCAGAGAAGGCTGTAACGCAGCACTTCTGAGGAATGGTCTAGCTGGGGGAATATATGAAAATGAAACCTTAAATCAGTATCCAATGTAACAAAAAAGTAGGCTTAGCCACTAGTTAAATTTAAAGAAAAAAAAAAAACCCACCAAAAAAACCAAAACATGAGCATCCTGTGGATACTTTCCAGTTTTATTCTGCTGCCATAACATAGTCACACAGAAGAGTTGAAGTGTAACACATCATGCTCTGCATTCAAATATTTTTGATAACATTTAAACAAATCTACTCAAAGAAAACATTCCCCAGTTCTTTTTTTATTTTCAGGGAATAAATTAAACACAAAAGAAAAAACACATACATGCTTAAAATAAAATTTAACATAGGTATTAAAAAAATTTTTGAGGAACATTAATTAAAGAATGAAGTCTCAGAACCAGCCTGATGTTCTTACACATTTCAAATGAACGTAAGTTAAAATGGAACATACTTCTTTTATTTACTCCTCAAGCTTGAGTGCAGCACAACACAGTTTAAGTGCCCTGGCACCAAAATAATATACAAATATTTAATAGACGAGGCCATTGGTAAATTTATCATGTGTTATCCTTTCTTAATGCTATAAGAAATGTGCAGCAGCTAAAGCCAAATGTGACAGTATTTGTTCATGTCCATCTCTGTTCTCTAGAATACAGCATTTATCTAAATGCAAAATTGTAGGTAGATTTAAAACCTTATGCACAAATTAACAGGATGGAAGCATATACCTAAAATCAAGCATGTTCATACAAACTTTGGATTGCTGAAATGGATGCTGAGCTCAACTTCCCAGATACAAACACATCACATTTTAGGTAGGAAGTATGTTATTAAGCTGAGGCAGCCATTGAATATAATGTTTTGGGCTTGTAGTAATAAGCTTGTTTCCCCACCTTTAGAAGCTCCTCACCTAATAATTTTGTCATATATGATAAACTGGGAAAGAAACTTGGAACTCAAACATATGCAGCTCTCAATCTAGGTATGCTATAAGGTGGCCTGTAACATATGAAATTAACAAAGTGCAAGTGATTACCAAAAGCAAAATCTGATGTCTGATTATCTTTTCTCATCAGAGGATTTTGTCTTGCTTCTTATAGCCTTTAAATTACAATTTAATACTTGGAAGTACTTTAAAACTGTACATACTAGCATTTATGTAGAGGAAAATAATAACAGTTACACTTTTCCTATTAATCCATATAATTCAGCTTTAAGAAGCAGAACAGAATATATATCTGAAAAACATCTAGTTATATAAACATCTTCACCTTGTAAATTAGAGATTAAATAAAGTTATTTAACAATACCATAGCTATTCTAAAAACAAAATATTAGGTATTTAAAAAGAAGAATTGCGTTTATTCAGTAGGATTTTTCTTAAGGTTGCTTGCTTTTTTTGCCCCAGGGATACAGCTTTATGGAAATAAGCACTGTAACTCAAAAAGAAGTTTGCTGTGGCATTCTTTATTTAATCTCTTCATTTAAGAAAAGAGCCCATGCATGAGAATGATGGGAGAAAAGAATAAGTGCTTGCTTTCCTTCCAGAAATCATGAGGTCTGTGCAGTAAAGTTATAGGGAAGGTGTGGGGGA